ATACGTGCTTCTTCTTGTGTCAATTTGTCCAAACGATCCAGGCTATCCTGAATGTCTCTTTTTCCTGCCAACTTCTTGATATACTTTTCTAAATAACGTGTCAATAGAGAACAGTAAATCTATATGACGACAACTCACTCAATCGTCCACGCTTCACCTCCTTTGTCGCGATCGCAAGGATCGTTAGTACTTCGACCATAATCTTAATGATTATGTCCGTCATAGCAGCAGTCGGTGTAATGCCAATGTAAATCTCAAGCCGGCCAAAGAAATGCTCAATGCGGTTAAAGAGCTCAATGATCCTGTCTTGGCTAGCACTGGCATCTTTAGCCGCCTGCTCGCCATGCGTATTAAATAGGCAGCTTAAGCGAACCATGAGGGACACCGACCGAGAGGAGAACGCCAATGCCTGCGAAGATTACGTTCGCTGGAGGGAATGGCTGAAAAGCAAATATTAAGAGTGGAAGTTCTTCAAAAGGAAAAAAAAAAACTGGTATTCACAAGCCCAACACCCCCACCAATGGCGGCGGAAAATGAATACAGAACGTTTACGGTCGGGGCGACCCATTTTGTGAGTCGGTTGTTCCCATTCTGGGATTGGCTGAACCCGGGGATTTGTTCCCGAAGGACGGTGAGGATGGCCTCGGGGGAATCGCATGATTGAAGGGCGGGAAGGAGCGGATGCGAGGCTAGGTCTTTATTGGTCTTAAGTTTATAAGTTTGTAACGCAGCGTTGAAAATGGACACGAAGTTTGAATGCGATGTTGATGCGGAGAGGACGGTGGACATGATGGTCGGTGGAGAAGAGATACGAAGGCGGGCCATCGATAAGTACCGATAAGTAGCCGCCCTAGTGCGCCCAAGTACTGCCCAAGTGCAGCGCACGTTCCGTAGGACACGCTCCCCACTCCTACAAGTCAACCGTAGTATTTGTGGAGCAGTTTGACGACCTCAACCTGAGTAACACGATGACTACCTAGACCAGCTCACATTCTTCAACTGTGTCATGCAGGACTTTCTGTTGCCGAGGGCAGGATGTGTTTTATGGTCAGTTTGATTGCACACTCTTGGCCAGAACGCTTCAGGCCCCCTCCTTTATTGCCAAACACTTGCGTTGAGCATTCTCTGATAATGCCGATTTAGAGTCGAGACACATGCGAGGTGACGAGAACGGTCGCCGCTCAATGGCGGCTGCAAACCCACTGGCAAATCCCGGCCTTCAAACAGCTCTTCAAACTTGTTTCAGACTGCGTCCACCTCGACAATGGCCTACTATCTCCCATCTCTTTCGAATGCGTCCGAGCATTATGTAGGAGCATGGGCCTCACAGGGGAGGTCACTGGCACACTTTGGCCGAGGGTGAGACGCCTTGCTTTCATGGTGTTCTATGACCTGCACGCTGTCCTGTTCGGTTTGATCACTCGTCTTACATGCTCTCTTCGGAGCTCGCAGGTCTATTGATCACGGATAGTCGTTCTCCTCCATATTGTCAATCTCGTTGACCTCTTTCTTTTGCCGAGCCTAACTTACACATAATTTACCCAGCACGGAAATCCGCTTCACTCTGCCTCGCTCCGCCTTTCTTCTTTTTTTGCTTTCAGTGATCTCCCTCCGTTTATTTGTTAGATAGTTCAGGTCCCCCCCGGCATTGATGTGGACGCACGTCTTTGCCCCAAGCAAGTTCCGACATGACTCACGTTGGTGCTGAGTCTTGGCTTGTGGTAGCACTGTGGCAACGGCGCGACTCCTCGTGCGTCCATTTCATTTCTCTCACATATAAAGTACGCTTGAACCGTCGCCGCGCAGAATGGGGTGACTCTTCTCAATGCACGGCGTGATAATAGCACAGAGAGTTCAAAATCAAAGTTGGGAACAAGAGTTTTCGGGGCTGCCCCCTGGTACGTCGTCTATGTCGAAGCAGCTACTTGTTCCCATTCCACTTTTCCTTCCCATTCCCTTCTGGCGCTTGTGTCTGGTGGATGTCGTCGTGTCGTGGTGATCAGCATCGGCCTACAAGTACGGTCTACATTAGGGTTAAGGTTGAGATATATCCTCGTTCCACGCGATGGATGCAGTCTACAGCTCAGGACACCACACAAATCCTCCTCGTTCCCTATTTCTGAACCCTTGGATGCTCGCAGACTCAACTCCGACTACATCCATGGCCTGCCGTTCCCGTCGCTCAAGTCTCAACCTCGGACTACGCCACGTCGTCTGAGTCATCTGTGGGTACTCACACTTTTTGCAAGTGAAAGTATCCACAGATGACGAGTCGCCAATGTGGCTCCATTAACTGACATCGGAAAATAAGCAAGAGTTGACAAGGAGGGCGACGCCAGATAGTACTTGGATGATGGCGAAGCCGCAGGGTTGGAGTACGAGCTCTCAGTGACTTTCACCCCCATTCCAGACCGCATCATCAGTCAGGCTGGTCCTGATGGCACTGAATTATCGGAAGAGCCTGGCCTTCCTTCTCGTCTCCACCTTCCCGTCCATACTCGACATATCCTTGGAACGCGTTCACAATTCCGAACCCCCCCCCCCACCCCACCCCACCTAGTATCAAGGTCGTCGAACCCGACCGGGACCACTCGACCTTGACCGTTGCTTCTTCTGGGACGAGTTTCAGGGCGATGTAGTTGAGACACGCGGTGTGTCGCAGCCGACCGTTGCGAATACAAATATGTGTCCGGGAGCTTAGTACCCACTGAAGAGTTGGCGACGTAAAGGACGAATTTGTATCGTTGTTCCTGATCCGCCAACCAAGCTGCCGTTTCAACTATTTGGTTCTAGTAAAATCTTATCTTACCGAGCACGCTGGAGACTGCCCAGGCCTTTCCCTTCATCCCTTGTTGTGCCGCATCACTTTAATACCTATTCACCATTTTCTTGTTTTACCAGGGTTTCCTCGTCGCGCACTACCGCTGGCCCAGACCACGGACGAGCTGCTTCGTGTCTTATTCGACCCCGCCTTGTTCTTTCACTCCGCCCTGTTGACTCCTCACCATATCTTCCATCCCTCGACGTGTCTTCCTCCTTTCTTATCGTCGCCCTCTCCCGCGCCTCAGCACAAATACACGATCCTTAGCAACCCAACGAAGACAGGTTCACTAGCCCTCCATTCAGAATGAACACTCGTCATCGCCTTCCGTTCGCCAGTCCCATTCTCCCCCTCGCATCACCATTCTCACCAATCTGGTGAGGGAAAAACAACGCACAACGCAGCTGCGCTCCAGTACCAATCCGGTACCCAGAGCAAACAGAAAGTTTTTGCAGCAGCTCCCGCTCCAATGCGTGTACCCACTACCACGCCCATATCCATTTTGAATTCTCCCATACAAATTCCGACTCCGGCTCTTGCTTCAGCCTTGCCGCTGACATCAACTGGGCAGACCCGCCGCCGATTCCGCCAAGGTGAAGGACCTGAAATAGAAGTAAAGGTTCCGCTTCCCAAGGTCGTCATTCACGAACCCGTCTCGTGCGAGGCTTGGACCAAGACAGGCGTTCGCCATCCGGGAGCTGACACGGGCACAGGCACGACGAGCCGCGGAGAAATACTAGGTATCCCCATTGTCAACTCGTGGGGCAGGCTGCACGTGAATGATAATACCCCAAGGAGCTCGCCGCGGGGCAGGTCGCGCGTAGACGATGCGTAGCGGAAGTTATCTCGCCGCCACGCGCCTCAGGGAACATGCGCGCCCATGTTGTCAAACTTCGACCGCCACTGTCACCGCCACTCCTACTCCCTCCATCACCCCCATTGTCAGCCGCACACGCGCATGATGCACTAGAATGTTCTTTCCTAATAGCAGCAACACCTGAACCCGCCGTACCATACATCAGATTGTGTGGTCACTGGTAAAGACCGGAAAACCGTTTATTTCGAGCTTCACGGTCATGGTTGCTCTTTCGTTTCACCGCACACCCTACTAGTAGCGTCTGCCATCACTGCCCTCGTGTTGCGGTGATGACATGGTGCGAACCGTAGACGGCAGTGCCGTTGCTCGACGTGTGGGTTCCGCGAGTCGTGGCGGGAAAGCGGGCCGCCTTCCTTCTCTTCGTCTCTGTTTGGTTTGCTGCGCTTTTTATTTTGGTCAGGCTCTAGTCGGACGAAACCGCAAAGTTTGTTAGAAAAATGCGCAGAAACATCAAAAAAGACTCAACCTACCACAAAATTTTGTAAATTACTGTACTGTAACAACAAGAGCCTTTTGTTCGAAGACCTCGAATGAGATTTGTCATTGTTGGTTTGCTTGTGTCATCCATGTTTATGTCAGCTTTCAAAATTGGTTTGACGCCTCGTCCACCTCGGCAGCAACGGCCCAATATCTCCCATCTCTTTGAACGAGTCCGGGAATTATGTAGGGGCATGGGCTCCAGAGTGGTCATGCGTTGGCCGAGGGTGACATTCCCTGCTCTCGGTATCCTATGCCGATGTCTTTGGTCGGTTTGATGTACGTTTTTTCCACTCGTTTTACGCGTTCTCTCGGGAGCTTGCGGGTGTCTGGTGATCACGGACGATCATTCTCCTCTATTTTGTCAATCCCGTTGACCGTCGCCGAACCCAACTTATCCTCTGTCTACCCACGCACGGAAATCCTTGTTTTGCCTTTCTTTTGTCTTCAGTGATTTCTCTCCGTTTATTTGTTAGATGGTTCATATTCCTCCCCGGCGTTGACGTGGACGCACGCCTTTGTCCCAAGCAACTTCCGAAACAAAAAGTTGAAGCGAGAAGGTGATGGAGCAGGGCCCATTTAGACCGATCATGCAAAGAGACAGAACCGCGTCCCTTCTCAGGGTGGCACTCCTCTTTCAGGGCCAGTGGGAGAGCAGTCTGTGAGTCTGTGACACTATGTTCCATTCCAGTGCCTATTGTCATAGTCAACACTTTTGCTGCAAAAGCAAAGGCACAAGAATTATAATATGGAGCTGAGCAGCTCATTATAGGTGTTGTTCTGAATCTGCTCTGAATGATACAAGGAATGACGCTGGAAGATGTTGCACCGATGGTGAAGTGGTATCAGACCTGCAGTTTCATTACCCCACGGTGTGCCGTGCAACTGTACGGTAGATGTAGGTGTGGCGAGGAAATCTGGAGTGTCTCACGGGTTCGACTCCCGGTCGGTGTATTATTGGCACTCTGTATATTTTGCCCCGAGTTAGTCATCGTCTTCAGTGTGCCCAGTAATTCACCACTGTTCTGCTCCCAATTTTGCCGTCTCTACGAGAGCACTCCCTGAAGTTCCTGAACGTGGTCGTGAGCATGAATTAATGAATGAATACCGCGACTCCTGCGTCGATGTGGTGGGTCTTGTGACTCTTGTCTATGGGCGGAGCGTTCAGAGCGCAAGCGCACCGTAGTGGCGTTTTCGTTGCAGCTGCGCGCGTTGGGCATGAAGTAGTCTTTGCGTTGTTGGATTTGATTTCTTACACTTCGTCCGGTCCTCGGGGAAAGACCTATTGCGAGCATGAGCACGGAGAGGGTTTACATTCTGCTATGTTCACCTTACGTTCCGCCTGGGTCAGCGGCTTGACTTTTTTTTTTTGAATCCAAATTTATGGCGCATAGTATCATCATATGACTATGGTTTACCCTACATTTTGTTAGACTCTTGGTTAGACGAGTCTTAAGTTTCAAGCTTCAAGCTGGGTTCCTGCACCTGACTCGGAGACGGGCGTTCAGCGCTCAGCATCTTCAGTGGTAAATCAGTGCCAAGCCAGGCGGAGGCGTCTCTTCTTAGACTCCGTGTCTGAGTCACGCCTTCTACCTTGGGTGTTATTACAGCGCTAAGCCCCACGCCGCAGCTCTTATCGATCTCCCACCAATTAACTTACGCCCAACATTTCAGTAAACCTGCGATATCGATAAGCGACTCTCTCTACCACCGCATCCCACTCTCTCGAGTCTCTCCCTACCCCCAGCGAACCACTCCCCTTTCAATCCCACATTTGTTCCTTCTGGCATGAGTGATCAGTCAGGACAGGCTCATTTTCAGGTTCTCTTTGAGGCTGCCCTGCAAGACTACGAAGAGCAGACGGGCATAGTATTAGCCACACATCCACTCGCGGAGCAGCTCCAGAACTGTGACACTGTCGAGTCTGTTACCGCCGTTCTTCGCGAACAAACACAAGGCTTCAGTGAATTCCGTGGAAGAGACAAAATTATGAAATTGCTCAAAAAGGCCGTATCAGTCCTGCATAAACTTCCTGCCGCAGCTGGCCTTGTTCAGGCTATCGGTCTGGTACGTTTGTAGGCGCTAAAAGAGAGCTTGACGTTTCTGACCCCCATCCCATAGCATTTCCCCCCCGTGACGGCAATACAGACAGGTCTTGCTGTCCTACTCTCTGTATGTGCCTTACATTGGTCCCTAAGCGCATATCTTCCTGAAATTCAAGCTTATCAGGCGGTCAAGGGCGTCACTGACAGTTCCGATGCATTGGTCGATTTGCTCGAGTCGATTGGACACTTTCTGGTTCGCCTCGACATCTATATCAAGATCCCTCCTGCAGTCCGAGTCGCTACTATGGCCGAGATGGTTGTCAAGATACTCATCGAACTGCTCTCCGTCCTCACGTTGGTGATCAAACAGATCAGGCAGGGAAAACCAAGTAAGTCCGTCTTTGGTGAGGTATTATTTCCCCGACTCAAGACTGCGCAGAAAAACTTGTTAAGAAGCTTCTTGGAGATAAGGACGTCGAGGCGGTAGTGCAAAGGCTGGATCGACTTACCCAGGATGAGGCTCGGATAACCACAGCGCAAACCCTCGGGGTTGTCTACGGTCTTGTACAGAATATGAGGGCGGTGATGGACGGTGAGCAGATCCACCAGGCTTGTCACCCGGTGTTGAGTATCCTTCCCTTTAGGTGGCCAGGCCTCGGTCAATGGTGTCCGGGAGGCCCTCGGTATGTTCTGCGCTCCACAATGAAGCAACACAGAATCTGACTGAACATTAGAAATCATGCAGCAAATCGCAAGCGACAGGAACAAGTCAAAACGTCAGTCATTTTTTAATGTTGCAATTTCTGACTGTAATCGCTGAGATTATCTGGCAGGCGAAGAGCTGGAGCAAAAAGTCCGAAGTTGGCTGTCGCCGCCCGACCCTTGGAGCAACCACAATATTGCCCTCAAATCACGCCACCAGGGATCCGCAACATGGTTCGTTCAAGGAAACACGTTCACAGAATGGAAAGCGTCCGAGGCCTTTGGTTCCCTTCTATGGGTTCATGGGAAACGTCCGTTAACCCTCATTTATTGCGCATTTGCAGAAACTAAAAACTTTGTTTTCATAGCGGGTGCAGGAAAGAGCGTTCTTTGGTATGTCAAACTATTGGTATTCCTGTCGTCATCTCGAGAACTGATCGTGTTGGCCAGCTCCACAATCATCCTGGACATTGATGCCATGCGGAAAGCAGGACTTGCATCACTGGCCTTCTTCTACTGTGATTTTAGGGAGGACCAAAAGAGGACCCTGCGCGGACTACTCTCGTCCCTCCTGGTCCAACTTTGTCATCAATCCGACTCCTACTATGATATGCTCTTTGAATTCTACTCGGAACATGCCAACGGTTCGCGTCATGCGAGCGACGATGCACTTGCGAGCTGTTTGATGGACCTACTTAAACTCCCTGGACTGGCCCCTGTCTACCTCATCGTCGATGCTTTGGATGAATGTCCAAACACATCTGCCGTCCCATCTCCCCGTGACGAAGTTTTAAACCTCATCGAGAAGCTTATCGAATCACAAATTCCGAATCTACGCATATGTGTCACTAGCCGACCAGAGACTGACATCAAGGATGTCCTCGATCCTTTAATTTGCCGCTGTGTTTCCCTGCACGACGAGAGCGGGCAAAAGAGGGACATTGAGGACTACATCAAGTCGGTCATTAACTCGAATCCAAAAAACAAAAGGTGGAAAGCGGAGGACAAGCAACTAGTCATCGACGTCCTTACCCAAAAAGCTGACGGGATGTAAGGTGTCAACACACGTTATTGACGACTAGCTCATTTCCAGATGGGTGTATTGTCAGGTGGTCTACATTTGCGGCGTCATCCCAGCACGTATCCGACATGTATTGGCCGTGTTACCAGAGACGCTCGACGAGACATATCAGCGTACCTTGCGAGAGATCAATAAGGCGGAGTGGGAAATAGCACATCGTCTACTTCAATTTGTTGTGGTGGCTCGCCGCCCCCTCCGCGTCAAGGAACTCGCTGAGTTGCTCGCATTCGATTTCGAGGCAGGACCAATTGCGAAATTTTATGAGGGTTGGCGCGTGGAAGATCCAATCGACGCAGTGCTGTCTACATGCTCAAGCTTGCTCGCCATTGTTGATGGTGGATATCACTTCGGAAGAGTTGTACAATTCTCTCACTTTTCGGTGAAGGAGTTCTTGACATCCGCCCGCCTTGCTGAAACAAGCGACATTATTCCCCGCCGTTATCATATTTCCATGACACCTGCTCATACCCTCGTGGCACAAGCCTGTTTAGGCATTCTGCTACACCTCGATAAGAATGTCGTCACCAACGACAGCCTGGGGAAATGGCCTCTCGCTGAATATGCTGCGGAGCACTGGGTTGATCATGCTCTCTTCGGGGATGTGTCGCAAAATGTGGAGGATGGTATGAAACAACTGTTTCACCCGAGAAAACCACATCTTGCGGTCTGCGTCTGGATACATAACCCAGATCCTCTTCAGCGGGAACAAAACCAACGAGCTGAAAAGCCGTTGCCACACCTCGGACCTCCGTCAAGAACTCCGTTGCATTATGCCGCATTTTATGGCTTGCAATCCATCATAAAGTTCCTCGTCATTGAGTACTCACAGGATGTGCATTCTCGGGGCCTCACCGACAACGAGACCCCATTACATCTAGCGTCAAGACGTGGACACGTGAAAGCTGCTCACATGCTTATTGAGTACGGCGCGGATGTGATGGTCCAGAAAAAGGACGGGGAAACACCATTACATCTGGCATCGCAAGAGGGACAAGTGGAAGTTGCTCGCATGCTTATTGAGCGCAACGCGGATGTGATGGCACAGAACGAGAATATGGAGACTCCATTACATCAGGCGTCGCAAGAGGGACATGTAGAGGCTGCTCGCGTGCTTATTGAGCACGGCGCGGATGTGACAGCCCAAAACAAAGATGGGGAAACTCCATTACATCTGGCTCTGATTCGAGGACAAGTGGGAGTCGCTCGCATGCTTATTGTGCGAGGCGCAGACTTGACGGCCCAGAACAACGATGGGGACACTCCATTACATCTGGCGTTGATTCGAGGACAAGTGGGAGTCGCTCGCATGCTTATTAAGCGTGGCGCAGATTTGACAGTCCAGAACAAGGACGGGGAGACACCATTACATCAGGCGTCGCGAAATGGACAAATAGGAGCCGTTCGCGTGCTTATTGAGAATGGCGTGGATTTGACAGCCCGGAACAAGAATGGGGAGACACCATTACATCTGGCATCGCGAGAGAAACAAGTCGTGGTGGCTCGCATGCTTATTGAGCATGGCGCGGATTTGACAGCCCAGAACAAGGACGGGGAGACACCGCTACACCTGGCGTCGCGAGGGAGAAAAGTGGGAGTCACTCGCCTCCTTATTGAGCGCGGCGCGGATGTGACAGTCCAGAACAAGGACGGGGAGACTCCATTACATCTGGCGTTGATTCAAGGACAGTCGGAAACCACTCGCATGCTTATGGAGCACGGCGCGGATGTGATGGTCCAGAACAAGGACGGGGAGACCCCATTACATTTAGCGTTGATTCGAGGACGAGTGAAACTCGCTCACATGCTTATCGAGCGCGGCGCCGATTCGACAGCCCAGAACAAGGACGGGGAGACTCCATTGCATCTGGCGTTGATTCAGGGGCAGGCAAAAGTCGCTCACATGCTTATTGAGCGCGGCGCAACTTTGACAGCCCAGAACAAGGACGGGGAGACTCCATTACATCTAGCGTTGATTCAGAGGCAAGCAGAAGTCGCTCACATGCTTGTTGAGCGCGGCGCAACTTTGACAGCCCAGAACAAGGATGGGGACACTCCATTACATCTGGTGTTGATTCAAAGACAAGCAGAAATCGCTCGCATGCTTATTAAGCAAGGCGCAGATGTGA